ACAACACAGAGTAACAGGTCTGACTGATAGATTCATATCAAAGGTCCTGAATGTGCCTAAATAAACCCAGAATAAGAAGATAATATAATTATAAAAGCAGAGAGAGCACCAAAGGGATTTGTAATGGTCTTGATTGTCTTCAAGAGTATTTATAACGAGATAGCAAGTGCTTTACTTTAGGTTGTTGGCTTAAATTTGACCCAGGATATAGAATCATAGAATCATAGTTTGGTGTGACCTGAATGAAGGGAACTTAAATATCACCTAGTTCCAACCCTGTTGCCATAGGCAGGAACAATTTCCACTGCCCCAGGTTACTCCGAGCGCTGCCCAACCTGGCCTTAAACACTTCCAGGGATGGTGAAGAAGCTGGATATTGTTTTCACCAAATGTGTATTTGCTTTCCTAGGCTACATAAAACGACTTGTTAGACTCAATTCTGAGCAGATAAATGGCACATCACTCAGCTGGGACAGACTGGCACTCCTGATGACAGTCTTCATACAGTGAGCAGAGAAGATGAATGAACATTGCGTGTGTGGACTTTTCCAGTCTCTGGACAGTCCCTCCAGGTCAGGACTGGAAGGCAATTTCACACATTTCATTTTTTTCTGCACTCTGCTCATGTGTCACACACAATCCTGGCTCTGCTCACCAAGAAGGCAGAGGACTCTTCCTCCCTAAGCAGGCACACCAAAGCTATGGGGGGGGGGGTGTCACTGGAAGAAATTTTAAAAGGGTAAAAATGGGAGGGATTGTGTCACGAGAAGAGTTTATATTTTCTTTTTGTGCAGTCAGTGGACAAAAAAAGTTAAGTGCACACTTAAGCCAAAAGACAAAGTAGTAAACTGCAGTAGCTGAAATCCAACATAAGAGCCAGAGGCATGTGAAACTCAGCTATTTCCAACTGCACAAACCTGTGCAAACACAGCTTTCATTTTTCTTCCTCCTAAAATTCCCTGGTAGTTATCAGCTTCTAATTTCCTCCTAAAAATTCCCAGTGAAATTTAAAGAAACAAAACACCACTTGGCTGTGTGCTGTAAAAAGGGCTTTTGCATAGTTTTAATGTAAAAATTCATTGCTTGTTTCTGCTGAAGGGTCTGGAAACCTTTGCAAAGAGTTGGCTTGATGTCCAGTCATTTAGAATAGGAGCTTATTAATTTTGTTTTGCTATTAAATTGGCCACTGACTTGTGTTTAGCCCAAGGCATCAGCACTGTCCCAAAGAAATCCCTGCTGTTGTCCAGGAGCTGGATAACAGTATTTAACACTCTAATAGGCAGTTTGAGTCCCTTTTAGACAGTAAGGGGATTTAGGTATGGATGGCTGGAGCATGGCAAGTGACAACAGAGCCAGGGAAAGTATCCTAGCCCCGTTTCACCTGCAGGCACAGGAAGAGTGAGAGAAAATGGAGATACCACCAGCCTGACTGCAGGGCATCCAACACAGTGAGCCCTGAGCACACCTTAACTTGAAATAAATATTATTTCAGCTACATTATTACCTGGACAGAAACAAGATATTTAATGAAGTATAGTCCTGCTTCCCTATCCTTGGTGAGCTCGTCTGTGGATCTTTAAGGCAACACTTCAGTACCCAGCATAGACTTAAGTCTACAGGTGGGATTCATCTCACATGCAATGAGCCACCTAAAATGATACTTTAGAGCAAAACTATCAAGGTTTTGCCTGCACTTTAATATCTCTGGAGGTTTGGTTGATGCCACAAAGGGCTGTTCCAGGTCTGTCACACCTCTTGTGCTGGTACTAGTACTCAGAAATCACACCTGAACTCTGATCAGGACAAATACAGTATTTTTCAGGTTCTCATCTAAAGAGATCAAAAAGGGGGCCTACAAGAAGGCTGGAGCTGGACTTTTGACAAGGTTATGCAGTGATAGGACAAAGGGGAATGTTTTTTAACTATAAGAGGGGAGATTTAAGTTAGATATTAGAGAGAAATTCTTCCTTGTGAGGGTGGTGAGGCCCTGGCACAGGTTGCTCAGAGAAGCTGAGGCTGCCTCATCCCTGGAAGTGCTCAGGGCCGTGTTGGATGCTGCATGGAGCAACCTGGTCTGGTGGAAGGTGCCCTTGTCCATGGCAGGAAGGTGGAACTAGGTGAGCTTGAGTTCCCTTCCAACCAAGCATTCTGTGATTCTATGAAATCATACCATGAAGTGTCTGCAGCAGAGCTTACTCCAGCACCAGGGAGTGGGGTATCAACAGTACAAGAGGGACAGCACACCTCTTTTCCGTGTCTGTTCTGTCCAGGGATGATTTCAAGTAACTGTGGGAGTACACCAAAAGCTCTTTATCCAGCATCTTCTGAAGGGGAGAACAGATCCTCCCATACTCCTTTATTTCCACCCCATGGTTCTTGCCTCTCCCACTGTATGTAGAAGGAAGCTCAGTAAATAATTTTGGAGTATGTCTCAAACTTGAAGAGAGCTGGACCTAAATTACTTCCCTGAGATTGCATAGGGAGTCTAGGAAGGAGCCATTGGAGTCTTAATTCAATTTTTCAATACAAGATCATCTCCTTTTTTGAAACTTTATGTGTGAGAAGCAGTGGACTGATCTTGAGTATTTATCATTTTAGAAACTAAGGTTGTAGATAAGACCTCAGAGCATTTCCAGTGATCATCTCCAGCTCCATTTACCACCAACCCTTTCCTTCAGTGAACTGCAGAGAAAGAGGGAAAACTGTTGAATAAATCTCATCCGAATGCCAGTGACTGAGCTGACTGTTCCATCATTTCCACATAGTGAAATCCCAGAGTGTCTCAGCATTGGAATGATTGTTCTCCCAGTGAAGGAAAAACTTATGATGACAGTTTTGTGAGTGTGGTATGGATTTGCCTGGACTGGTTTTGTACTATCCCCAAAAAAAAAAAGTAGCATTTAGCTACATTAAACTTTGGAAAGAGATGCCTGAACTCTTATTTGTTTATCAAGACCGAAGATAAGATGTCAGTTATTCTAATCCCATTAAACTGTTTCTATTTTTTCTTCTCCCTTTATTTTTAGGTTGTTTGTGTAATGCCAGTTCACACTGCTGTTCTGCAGCCCCATTTCCCTTTGAATCCCTTGGTGATAAATCAGCCTCACTCCCCCCATCAGATGGTTGTTCTGCAAAGTGGAATAAAAGCCTGTGTGGAGCATCCCTGCAGATGTTGAGACTAAATATGGATTCAGCAAGGCATGAAGCCTGGATACTGTTGCAAGTTGCTGTTTTCTGCCCTCCCTGAAATTTTCTGTTTCCCCTTTAGGACTGTGAGATGCCCAGATGGGTCCGATCAAATACGAGACGAGGAGAATACGTAGGAAAAGCACATTCAGCTATTCCAGGAACAAAATCCAGGGCTTCAGGACTACTGGAAAGCCAGTTCCTTTGTAACTGTCTTCCAGATCTTAAAATTGTTTTGGACTGTTTGGGGATTTAGGTTGTTTGGGATTGTTTTGGGGTGGTTGGATGGTTGGGGGGAACTCCTCCCCTTTTCATTCCCTCTGGCTATTCTCCAGGTTTACAGTCATGTTGCCACACTATGTCAACAGCCCAGATGTAACCCCTCAGCTGTCTTGTGCAACACTGCATTTCTTCCTGAAGAAGCAGGAAAACACAACTGAATTTTCAGGAACCAGCAGTGACAGAAAGTTGAGCTGAGCCTACTTTGCTTGAATGCTTTTTTGGAACATGCAGTGCCCATAAACGTGTTCTTTGCTGTCCCACGTGCCAGAGATTCCAGAGGCTGCACTGCAGCTACCCAGGACAAGGAATAAAATAATAGGAAAGTCATCATCACCTCAGCCAAATGACTGGAATTCAGCCCAAGATTCCATTTTTTTAATGTGCTGCAATAATTCAAAATTGAAACCTGAATGGTCTTGACATTGTTTCTGTATTGTGAAAATATTTAAGGTGCTTGGATGCCTAAATTTCACCAAATTTCTATACCTGCTCAAAAGCAAACCTTGGAAAAAAATTAAAATTTACTAATGTGTTTAGTCATATATGGATAATTCTAAAAGGAATCTCCTTATTTAAACTTAATTCCTATTGAATTTATATTCTCTTATACTATATATATTATATATATAATATAGTCTATTTTTTTCATAATACTACATATATAATATATATTTTATATATATAATACTTATTATTATTGAATTCCTATTGTTTTTAAAACATAAAAGGAGATAGCTGGACAGCATGCCAGGTGCATTGGTGTACCAAATTCAAAGATTTTTTTTAAATAGTAAGGTCATTTATTTAGGTATTAGATTAAGAGCCTAGATTTTTCAAATCATCTTCCCTCCAATGTGAACAGGAAATTTCCTCACATCATCCTTCCTCAGGGTCTAGTTTTCTACGGAAGTAGGAATAGGTTGGTAAGGATCTCTGCAAGTTATCTGGACTTACTGGGTGGAGTTTCTTTTACATCAGGTATGCTCAGGTGAGAGCACTGGGTTGAGGTGAGGGAACTTTGCGAGATCAGTACTGTGGAAATGTCACAGCTGTCAACACTTGTTTGATTATAAACACTTATTAATATCTTAAAGCCTTCCAGTACCTAAAAGGGCTCCAAGAGAGCTGCAGAGGGACTTTGGACAAGGACATGAAGTGACAGGACAAGGGGCAACAGTATCACACTAAAAGAGAATAGACTTAGATATTTGGAAGAAATTCTTGGCTGTGAGGGTGGTGAGGCCCTGGCACAGGTTGCCCAGGGAAGCTGTGGCTGCCCCATCCCTGGAAGTGTTCAAGGCCAGGTTGGATGGGGCTTGGAGCAACCTGGTCTATTGTAAAGTGTCTCTGCCCATGGCAGGGGGCGGAACTGGATGAGCTTTAAGGTCCCCTCCAATCCAAACCATTCCATTATTCTGAAACCTGCTGTGCTGTCTAATGCATCAATCACCAGAAATTCTCCCAGTAAAGGCTGAGGATCCCATCTCCCAGAGCTCTCTACCAAAAGAGTTGTGCATTATTCTGCTCTTTTACAGGTGTGGAAACCGAGTCACAGGGCTGTGCTCAGAGCAAGCTGAGGATCACAGACCTGTCATCAGGTGTGAGAACCAGGAAACCTTTGAGTTCTGACTCTGTGTCATGAACAGTAGTATCATGGCCTTTATTCGTTAAATGATCCATAAATAAATTAAAATCAAGAGAAAGAAAAAAGAAAAAAAAAGGGTGAGAATATAAAGGGAAATGGATTTTGTTGCTATCCAAGTGATATCTGTACGGGTGGAATCAAAATAGCTTCAAATAGCATAGGAAATGCACCCATTCCTGTCAGCCAGGAAAGCAACCCACTAGGGACAGCAAATCTCCCTGTAGCTGAATCCCAGAGCTCGTGGGCACGATATGTCTCCTGTGGGCTGTTGTAGTCAGCCCTGTGAAATCCAAAATCTTCCCTCCCTGCGTCTCTCCCGGTTGTATTCCCTTTCTCCACCAATTGCTGAAGAAAAAAAAAAAAAGACAATTGCTGTAGAGCTGTATCAGAGATGCCAATCTAATTAATTTTTTTCTCTTTTTTTTCCTTTTCTTTTTTTGGACATTGCATCTGTGGAGGAGGGAGGGGATGACAGGGAGTTGCAAAGGCAGGGGCAGCTGAAGAGGGAAAGGAGGGGGAGAAGAAGAGAAAATATTTCCTTTGGCAATTCTGTTTCGCTTTTGAAAGGGGACTACTTTCCTCACTCCTTATCCCTCCTGACAAGTACAAGCACTTTGGGCCCTAACTGGATGTGAACATTGTCAGAAGGAATTTGGGCTAAAGGGAGGCATCTGCAGTTCTGTTCCTATTGCGCTCGGTGCTGGAGCCACTTTTGCGAATGTGGCAGGGTGGCTGGTGGGCAGACACCAGTACAGATGGGAACTTCACATACTGTATGCATCATGACCAACTATAAAAACAGTCACAACGCATCACTTGTTACCCGGCCAGGCTCCCTGGAACCTTCACTTCCAATTTCCATCTCGCTGACATTCACAGCTTACACTGAGCTTTTATGTTTAAGCATCAGTACAGTATTAACGCAGGAGAAAAGGGGTGGCTGGGCTACCACAGCAAGGAATTAAACCTCTGATCTCGGCCAGACGTTGGAAGGGAGGAGCAATTCAAGGGGAATTGTGTAACTGGACTCTACGGAAAAGGTGCGAGGGGAAAGCAGGGGATGGGAGTCAGGAATATTTTTTGATGCCGTGAACACACAGCAAGTCAGGAGGGTTCTGAAAAAGAAACATAACGAGCAGGTACTCTCCCAAATTGTAATTTAATGCTTGGAATAATCCTATTGTGTCAGCTACTCACCTCCAAAGAACTGAGGATAAATATAACTTTTAAAAAAAAAAATTAAGGGGATGGCAATTTGAACAGCTTAATGTTTCTTCAAAGGCTGAGTGATGGAAAGCAGCGCTGAGGTAAATTGACAACTCGGAATTAACTGGGTGCTGGCACAGCTCAGGTAAAGGTTTGACGGTAACATGAGCTTTCCAAAGTGTTTCCAAACTGAAGTATTATGAAAAGGTAAATTATGTTTTGTATTCATGACTGAAAGCATTTTATTTTAAAGCCGGCGCTGCCGATGCTGTCAAGGTGGAGATTCGAGCTTTATGTACAGTGCCTGCAGCCCTGCCATGTGAGTGAGGCAACATGACAGCTTGTAATAAGTAATTTTTATACAGTTGCATTTATCACTCAAGTAGGCTTGGCAATATTAAACACAGACCTTAAAATGCTGCAGAAGAGGAAAGACAGGGGCTGGAGGCCATGTGTACTCTGTGTGTGTGTATGTGTGTGTGTGTGTGTGTGTGTGTGTAACTTCTTCATTTTTTTCTTTCTCCAGCCCCGTTCCTGTTAATGTGGTACTTTTTAAGATATGCACCAAAACGCTTCCAAATTGTTAATACATCACTAAAAGGTTACAAATGAAATGACCCCATTTAGCCCAAAGGATGTTATTTTAGGCTTTAATGAATTAGACATTGCTACCATTTTCAGGCAAAAATCAATTGCCTCAATTAACAAATTTGCACGAGTCCAAATATTTACAAAATAAAGGCCCAGAAACCACATTCTTCTCTTTCTCACTCCCTACTCTGTTTCTTCATTAACATCTTCATTTCCATGAAAGTGTGAGGCATCAGCTCTTGCCCTGAGCTAGTGAAGCCCAAGTGTTGACAACTTTCTTATTCTTTAGAGCCTGCTCTTTTCTGTTTTAACAGGTTTTCTTACTTTGTCATAAATAATTCAGGACAAGCTGAAAGAAGTGGAGGATACCCCTTCCTCCTAAAGAAAGGAATAAAAGTATAGTCAAAAGTCAAATATGTCAGTTGTGGAAGAAAATTTTACAAAAAGAGAAGTCAATTTAGTTTGCGGGATTGAATTGAGAAGGGAATTTTCTTCTATTCACAGGATTTATAGGAACTGCAGCTCAAGTCTGAACCAAGAGGAAGCAAAAATCTCCAAGCCAAATGGCAGACTCTTAAATTTGCTACAGCAGAGTCCTGACATATGGTTTGGTTTGCAAGGAGTTACAAAGCTCGGTGGATGCCAGTGAATTCAGCCATTTAATGCTGAAATAACACCAGATTGAAAGCAACGTCAAATAAAAAATAAAATAAAAAAAAAAAAGGCCTGTCTCTGTTATTATTCATATGACCCAGATGAGAAAATTATGCGTTTGCAGTGGGAGGTTTGTCTAACATGGGCCCAGTGGTTGCCTCGGGACATCGGCTGGATGGTGAGAGGAGGACTTGCAGCTCAGTGGATCTGGGTGTCTGGACTATCAGACTATCAGGGAGATGGCAGAAGAAGCTGATGGCTTTGTCTATTCCATGATTATTTCATGCATCTCTTCTGTCCATCAATTATGTTAAATTTAATTCATTCACCCATCTAATCCACAGTGGTCTGAAGAAGATATTCCAGGATCTGATGGTTACTGGAATTTCCCAGGACAGCAACTGAGGGTGGCATTGACTTCTTAGCCTTTGCTAGAACAGGAGGCTCCAACTCGTAGTAAAGGTCTCCAGGTAAGAGAGAGTGACACATATACAAGGGTAACGTTTGCCCCATCCCTGGAAGTGTCCAAAGCCAGGCTGGACAGGGCTTGGAGAAACCTGGGATAGTGGAAGGTGTCTCTGCCCATGGCAGAGGGTGGAACTGGATGAGCTTTAAGGTCCGTTCCAACCCAAACCATTCTGTGATTCTACAATTTACCTTTGCAGTAGTGCTGATTCAGAAGTATCAACTGAACAAAAAAAGATAAGACAAAACAGTCAGTAAATGTTAGAAGTCAACATATGTTATAGATTTTGCAAATGAGTCCATAAATCAGCAAGAGAAACTAGATCTCCCATATAATAAGTCTCCACAGCCAGTTTAATTCTGATTTTCAAGACTTATTTTGTATCATTTGTCTATATTAATTAGAAGATGGAAAACAAGCCTATTTATTTCCCCAGAAAAGTATGGTTAATATAGATCTATTTTGAAATGATATTGGTTTTTTTCTTTTTACTGTTGCTACTAGAATATTACTACTTTTGAGTAAAAAAATACCTCGATTTTCTGCTTAATATTGTGAACCTGAGATTAAGCATTAAAACTCAGTTGTGGCTAGATGCTAAGAAATATCTTTTAGTAAAAGATTACAATCTTCAGTATTTTAGGTCTTTAAAAATAGATTAAATGAACATCAGCCAGAACTTACCAAGGAACATTTGATTTTTCTTTGAAAAGCAACAAGCTAAGTAACTTCATCTGACAGTCCATGGTCCATGGTCTCAGCTGGGCTTTCAGCAGAAGAGGCTTCTAAAATCTCTAGATATTTTTTGAAAATGAGGTTACTTGTGACATAATTTTGACAAAACTCAAGACTCCTCGAGGGTAAGGTTCATTTTATTGAGCTTAAGATATCTATAGTACACACGATAACACCTGATGTAGTTGCCTTGGGATTCTTTAATAGACATCAGAGAGAAAGAGGCATCTTTAGGTACAAATGTCTGACCTACTGAAATGTTTTCCTTGGCCAGATACATTTCATCCCAGTCATATGAATGGTGCCATTAATGGAAGGATGTAGATTCATGGTCTGGGTTTGAAGGGACCTTAAAGCACATCTTGTTCCAATCCCCTGCCATGGGCAGGGACACCTTACAATAGACCAGGTTGCTCCAAGCCCTGTGCAACCTGGTCCTGAACACTTCCAGGGATGGGGCAGCCACAGCTTCTCTGGGCAACCTGTGCCAGGGCCTCCCCACACTCAGTCAAGAATTTCTTCCTAATATCTAATCAAAACCTACTCTCTTTTAGTTTGAATCCATTCCCCCTTGTCCTGTCACTCCAGGCCCTTGTAAATTCTCTCTCTCCCTGTTTCTTGTGGGTTGCCTTCAGGTACTGGAAGGCCACAGTTAGGTCACCCTAGAGCCTCCTATTCTCCAGGCCAATCAATCCCAATTCCCTCAGCCTTTCCTCACAGCAGAGCTGTTCCATCCCTCTAATCATCTTGGTGGCCTCCTCTGGAATCACTCCAACAGGTCAATGTCCTGCCTTTGCTGGGGACCTCAGATGAAATACTGGACAATATACTCCTGATAAGGTCTAGGTGAGAGTGAAGGGATGTGCTCCACACAAGTAGGGTTTAACATGATTATAAATTTTGGCAGGTTGGCTCCTAAGAAGATGGGAGACGCAAGCAGAGAACCTACTTTTGTGATGAATCTTTTCTATCTATGCCATCCTTTGACACTTCCTGGAGAGATTCCTGATACTGCTGTGGCTCTGACATGCTGTGCAGCACCTCCTGCTTATATCTCCTAGGCCTGACAATTAAGAGCTAAACAGCAGTAACACTGATAAATTCCATCTTGCACACTGGAATCAAATCTGTCATTATCTCAAACCCTTCAAGCCCCAAGTTGGATGCCAAGAAGGGCTGTCATGGTTTGTCTCAAGCAAAGAGTATTTCATGTAGATTGTTGTATCATGTGGATTTATTGCACAAAATATGAGTAAATTGTGACTTTTCTTGAGCTAATCCCCTTGGTCTTACCAAAAGCATCATGCTGGACATCAGTGTTTACACCACAGACATAAAATACAGAGTTTGCTTTGATCCCAGGCACTACATCCATAATTCAAGCTTCATAAAATTATGTAAAGCATTTCTATTGATTGGGGGTTGTCATGTTTTATCTTCCTGTTTGACCAATATGTCCAATGATGTAACATTACTTAAATAGTCTGTGCAGTTGGTATTCCAGGAGAATTCATGCAGCTCTCCTTGTAGAAAAGCTTGCATACCTGGAGGTTAACATCTGTCTAAGCAAAAAATTCACTTCTTTTAGTTAACAAGGCCTTGTCATTGTAATAAATGAATTATGAAAAATGTGTGTTGTTAATCATGTGCAGAAAAACCTGCAACAGATTCTCACCCATGGAAGGGGTGGGATGGGAGGGGCGTTCCACTGTCCATACTGTAGACCTCTGCAGTAAAATTATCTCCAAATCAGCTAACTATGAATAATTTTCTATTTTTAAGAAGAAATGTCACTTGATTAGACTTCTATTTGATTAGAATTCTACTTGATTAGAATTTAAGCTGTATTTTAATTAAGCTGTATTTTACCCAGGTACATCTCTTTTTTCCTTTAATTTACTAGGGGACAAAAGGGAGTCAAACCTAATGTAGCTCTGCAGTACAGACCTCTACATTATGAAACCAACCCAACCTACTTCACAGCTCCACTATATTTAATGGAGATGTGGTTTATGCAGAACAAATCACAGCAAAAGAAATCACAGGGTTTAAAATTGCTTTCCTGGAAGTACACAACAGGATAAGGGCCTGAAGATCACAAAGTTGGTTTGACCAGTAGGTCTTTTGCTGAAACCACCAGTCAGACAGCTGTGTATTTATTTCTAGTATTGCCTCTGAGCAAAAGTAATCCATAACTTTTGAAGAAAAAGAAATTTGGAGTGTTTGACATGTGACAGGGATCTATCTACATTTAATATAGCAAAACTTAAGTGATCTTGATTTCAAAACTCCCACAGAAAAGATTCTTCTTAATCTCTCCAAAAAGATATTTTTACGATGTTATCAAGCTTTGAATAAGAAATCTCTTCATCAACATCAGACTCCTTCAAAACAACAAAAAACACAAAAACAAAACAAACAACAAAAAAACCCCAAAACAAAACAAACAAACGAAAAAAAAATACAAAAAAAAAAAAAAAACAAAAAAACAAAAACAAAAAAGGGGCTTTGCTTTAAAATATAGAATCACATTATCAAAATGATAAAAGATTATTCTGTGATGAGAAACCTGGGATCAGTACTCAGGAAACCGTGGAAAAATACCCTGCTCCAAACTTGCCAAGTTCCAGGCTCAGATAGTTTTGTATTGGTGTAATGTATCTGTAAATCTGTGCTGCTGCTCTCTGCAATGAACAGAAATTAAGACTTGAATCAACTCCCTGAGTTTAGGCATCTTCTCTGGTACTTCATCTCTCACAGGGTCTGTCACAGATGGGAGTTCATGGAGAACTTGCCCATTCCAAAGGATACTAAATACCCATGGCCAGGTAAATGAATGGGTCCCAGAGAATGTGGTTAATGGGGTCTAATGGATAAGTTAGCTTTAAGTAGAAACCTACTTTTGGTCAACTGTGCAGCTCTAGATGCCTTAGGGAATCTGAGACATCTCCGCTGGGCTGGCAGATAGACACAGGTCTGGGCTGTCCTTTGAGCCAGCAGTCACACCCATGAATGTTTCAAAAGGCACTAAACATCTTTGTCCAGACAACTAAAACATGCCCACAGGATGGGCTTCACTTGCCTGAACATGACTATCTAGTATCCTTTTAGGTGCTTTGGAACATCCTACTCAGCTGTGGAAGCATGGACGCCTCTTACCAATCTGGATTCATATTTGCCAGGCTGTCTAGATGCCTTGAATCAAATAATATGCCTCAGATGGTATTGGACACACAGACAAAAGGATCATGGTCTTAGCTGCAGGTATCAATAGGAATTAAGGTAACCAGTCTCTACAGATGGGGATCTCAGCACAAGAAAGACGTGGAGCTGTTAGAGCAGGTTCAGAGGAGGGGTACAAAGATGATCTGAGGACTGGAGCACCTCTGCTATGGAGACAAACTGAGAGAGTTGGAGATGTTCAGCCTGGAGAAAAGAAGACTCTGGGAAGACCTCAGACCCTCTTCTAGTACCTAAGGGGGGCTTATGAAAAGGAGGGAGAGAGATTTTGTACACAGATAGATAGCAATAGGACAAGAGAGAATGGTTTTAAACTAAAAGAGGAGAGATTTATATTAGATATTAGAAAGAATTTCTTTACTGTCAGAGTGTTGAGGCCCTGGCATAGTTTGCCCAGAGAAGCTGTGGCTACCCCATCCCTGGAAGTGTTCAAGGTCAGGTTGGACAGGGTTTGGAGCAACCTGGTCTATTGTAAGGTGTCTCTGCACGTGGCAGGGGATTGGAACTAGATGGTCTTTAAGGTCCTTTCCACCCCAAACCATTCCTTGATTCTAT